CGCCAATAAATTATATTTAAAATTCTCCACTTAAATCACCATTTGTACGAAAAGAATTCTGATGTATTTCTTGTTGGTTTTCATGTTCGGCGTTCGGTTGAGGATGTGCAACTCTCCCGTGTACAAAATGAATTTTAATTTAATTTTTCTGATTCCGCATGTACCTATCCGGACTGGAATTTCATGGAGAATAATCGATTAGATTGGATTTTTATAGTCGGTCTCAAAAAATTTCAAAATATTCGATTAAAAATGAATTGTAATCCAATTTTTTTAAATATCTTTACGTTGTTTCAGTTATTTTTAGATGTGGTATTCTTTACTAGAGGCCAAGAGGGGACAATTGCAGATATCGAATCTTCTTTTAACTCTGTTTGGTCACCTGTGTAAGGAAAAGGAAATTGAAGTTTTTTTTTAAAAAAATTAAAGTTAAACCAAGAAGTACAGTCCCCTCGCCCCCATATAGCCTAGATTAACGATATCAAAATTAACAATAATATTTTTAAAAAATTGAATTTATTTAAAAAAATTATTTCGTGTAATTAACATAAGAATGTAACCCCGCATAAAAAAATGTAAAAACTAATTTTATTATGATTTTATTTGTTATGAAATGCATATTTTATACAGATTCTGTTTAGCTACTGGTTGGCTACTTTGGTTCAACCGTACGTTTTATGATTTTGTTATGATAAGAAATTATTTTGAGTAATTAACATAAGAATAGAATCCCGCATAAAAAAATGTAAAAACTAATTTTATTATGATTTTATTTGTTATGAAATGCATATTTTATACAGATTTTGTTTGGCTGCTGGTTGGCTACTTTGGTTCACCCGTACAATCCCCTCGCCCCCCATATAACCTAAATGCTTTCAAAATTAACGATATTATTTAAAAAATTGAGTTTAATTTTTAAAAAAAATTTTTTTGTGTAATTAACATAATGTAATCCCGCATAAAAAAAGGTAAAAACTAATTTTATTATAATTTTATTTGTTATGAAATGCATATTTTATACAGATTTTCTTTGACTACTTTGATTCAACCGTACAATCCCCCCCCCCCCCCCCCCCCCCCCCCCCCAAATCGGTTAAGGGGAGAGAAAATATGAATTTTTCATAATCTTATTTTAAGTATAGCCTAGATGCTTTCAAAATTAACGATATTATTTTAAAAAATTGAATTTATTTAAAAAAATTATTTTGTGTAATTAACATAAGAATAAAATCCCGCATAAAAAAGGTAAAACTAAATTTATTATCATTTTATTTGTTATGAAATGCATATTTTATGTTTTATTTCAATTTTTGTAGTAAAACAGTTAATTTTGAACGAATCTAAGCCATACTCAGAGTTAGAACATGGAAAACACAATTTTTCTCTCCCCTTAATCGATTGGGGGGGGGGGGATTGTACGGTTGACCCAAATTAACTTTTTTTTCTAAAAAGTTTGGATCACAATGGACAACAAAGTTCTCTTGGGAAAACTACGCGCAACCAACGGAGGTTGTTTTTCTTGACAGAATTTTTTTTAGCTTATCAATCCAAAACTTCTCGTTCTTTCGCAGAGAAATGATTTATTGCTTTTCCGTTCAGAATTAAACATCTTCTGGAAAGAAAAAAAAACAGAAATAATTGAACTGCTCAACCGCAACGAGATAAACATGCTTCACGCCGTAGCAAACAATGCAAATTAACGCTTGTTATAACGAGTGTTGCTGTGCATTAGATGACATCATTAATCGCAAATGTCAAGTCATGTGGCCTAGTGGTTAGCCAAATTGTTTATCAATTAAGATAAACGAGGAAACTTATTTTCTAACTAGAAATAGCCTAAAAGTAACTAAGTTCTGAGCAGAAATGAGAGAAAATTTTTTTAATCAAATTCCTTCTTTATGTAAACTTTGCATAAAGAATTTCTAAACGGAAATTAAGTTAAGATATAAAGTATTTCAGGTCAGAAGTAAAGAATTTTTCGTTACCAACTTTCTCAATATCAAAATATGGAAATCATAAAAGGCAATACACGAATCTTATTAGTTATAATTAAATGCGTTGAAAAAAAAATTGATCGACACCTAGAATTAACTTTTGATTCGCTGTTCATTTGTTTTGTGTTGAATAAGTAAAAAGACTCCGAGGAACTGTTATTTGAAGAAGTAGCACATACTTTTATTTGATTACAAAATACTGCATGTGTCTGGCGTCATATAAAATGACAGCGTTTAAAATAAACAATTGGAGCGACAATGCAATCTGCCTCCACGGGTCACTGAAACTAATGCCAACTTCTATTCACTGAGAAAAAAAACACAGGGGTTTCACAACATGGATGTTGATATTCTCCGAGAAAAAATTAAGCTGACAATTTTAAAGCAGAGATCTCAAACAGTTACAATGAGAAAATGTTAAAAACATTCACGAAGAAACGAAACAAAATGGTTTTAAGTTTTAACATTCATCGAAATGTTTCTTTCCTACCAAAAAAGCATATAGCAAAACTCTCGCGTTACAGAGGGACTAAAATTTTTTGGAGACGATGAAGCTTAAATCTGAAACAAAGTGATGAGAAAAATAAATTAAAAAAGCTTTAGGACACAATGAAAAGTAAGATCTCGCAAAAGACATGCTATGAAATATTACTTTGTCGGAGTTTGTCCTGGTTGACATTTTGATGACACACAAAATAGTTTATGCATCCTCTGGCACCAGACAAATGATGGTAGTATTTCTGGCGACAAGCTAATGGAGACAAAACGCGTTTTGAAAGGTCCAGAGGCAAGTCAAAATCGAATCAAGTCGACTCTTGGAGGAGAGACTCTCTACGGATCCAAGCATTGTCTCGACAATTAGACACAGGTGACAATTGGTTGCATTTCAAGAAGTGAGCAACCAAACGGACATGCATAAATGGGCGTGGGCTTTGAGATGGAAAATATCGGAGAAACACTAAGCCTAAAAATTGAATTGCTTTGCAAAGAATTTTCCTCTTTCTTAATTGCGACAAATTTTAGTCTGCCACAAATAGTTGCCAAGCTTTTTTTAAAATAATAAGATAATTTTATGGGCTTTCTTATTTTACAATCATCTCGACTTTTTTTTACATGTGAGGGTTTTGTTCACCATTCGATTGCTTTCAAAATGGCGCGTGGACTAATTATGCAAATGCAAAAATGTGTTCTTGATAATTAAACTGATGAAATTACTCTTTACGCCTAAAAACTTATGCAGCTACATGCGAAAGGAGGGAAAAACCTTTTTTACATCTCCTTATCTTTAGGCTATATATGTTTGCCATTACTTGACTACATGTGCTGCTTATCTTTCTGCTTATCTTTAGGCTATATATGTTTGCCATTACTTGACTACATATTGAGGAGCGTAGTTTTAGTTGTTTCTTCAAATTGAAAAGCAATCTTTAATACAGAAGCGAAGCAGATCTTTGCACCACTTGCGATACAAAAACATTAAAACATGAAAAGCCGGAAAAAAAAGAAATTTTTAGAATTAAAAACTAGGTCATAAAAACTTCATATGTCTCGATAGAAATGCATTTCAGGCAAACATGCCAGACACTTAAATTTAAAACAGCAAAAACGGAATCAAATTTCCGAAAAGAAACAAAGCCGACAATCTTTGACCAGAAACAAGTTGAGCCGAAAATATGATTTTTAATAAAAAAAAGTTCAAATACCCACATTAAACAACAATGGACAACACTTCCACTTGCAACTAAAATAAAAATTGTTTACAGCACAAAAAAAAACAGTAATGTGGCAATTGAGCCAACAATATTTGAGCTGAAACCATTTGAACCGAAAAAAAAGAATTTATGAAATTTTTTTAAACAAATGTTCCAAGTCCTCCTGAAATTATACTGAACAACACTTGCACTTGCAAACACAAGGAAATTATCTACAGCATTAGCAAAATCCATTGTGGCAATTTAGCCGACAAAACTTGAGCAAAAAAAACTAAAAACCAACATTTCATTTTTCTCGGATTTTTTTTCAATTTCATTGATACCTAAAAAATCAAGGTCCGGCCACGACTCAAACTCCTGACCACAAGATGTTAAGAGAAAAAAGCATGCGATAGTGAAATTTGTAACCTAGCATGCGGTCGTTAAATTTGAAATTTCTTAAAATTGAGCATGTCTGCAAAAAAAATATTCAACTGATTTTGTTAAGCGAATTGTTAACTAAAAAATGTCTATATTCCTGTTTGATAACGATTGCTAATCGCAAGCGTATAAAACCAATGTCTTGTCCGTAAAATAGAATAGTTCGCTTTTAAACTTTATCGGGCACGAACTATGCAAACAAGAGCCATAGCCAAAAGAAGTTCGAAAAGTTTCCTTGAATTATAAGAAACAAAAAAGACGTTTTTTTTTTATAATTTTGAAAATTATAAATTTAGAAAAGATATCAATTAAATCAGCTTGATTTTCAAGAAATTTTTTGACTGAAAGTTTTTCATAATACGAATCTTTTCCCTCACCTGCGAGTTTTTACAAGTAACTCTTTTGTTCGCATTCTCTTATTGTTACTAAAATTGGCAAGTCAACTACTTAGGCGATGAGGAGCATATTTGGTCTTCTTAATTAACCTCGTAAAACCCTTGATTAAACCAGAAAGTTGATGATCAGAAAGGCGAGCAATAAGCAAAATGAGCCTATAAAACTAATTCAAAAAGAGAAAATTGGGCCAATAGATAACTGTTTTGTTCCTCTGGGAAATCGAAAACTTTAAACTATCTCGAAAGTGAAAGAAAATCACGTTTTTAGGCGGCTTTTGCACTTGAAGAACGCTTTACTCTTTTTTTCACTTCAGCTAAAGGATTAAAAAGCATCAAACTCATTACAAATCACATGTCAAATCGAATGTAATTATATTGCCAATGCAGCCTACTGATTTAAAAACACCACCAGAAGTAGTACCTTCAAAAGTGCCAACAAAAGTAGCATTTTTATTTGCTGACTTAAGTTGGAAAAAAGGCATTGTAAGGGTTGTCATTAAATATCTTCAATCAATGAGAAAACACTTAGAAAGTCAATTTCATTCAGGGTATTCAATGAAGCATGAGTTTTATAACGAGGTGTATCACAACTAATTTGGCAATTAATTTGAGTCATTTCAATTCAGTTTAGTTCGATCACTTGTGTCTTTTGACTAAGCACTGTCAGCTTGGGAGAAATCTCGTCTGGCCTTGTGATCTCACTGTAGCCTATGTCCTGAAACACAATTGAAATACCCAGGATGAAGGATGAATTTTTCTGCATTTACAAAAACTGCTTCAGAATTACTTGTTTCACACTACACATTTTTTCTATTTTTTTTTTCAAAATTGAAGGTTTTACAAAACTGAACATTACGAGGCCAAACTGTGTATTTTGTGAATTGTAATCGGATTCCGCAACAATGACGCGCTCTTTTGTTCTTTCGTTTTCTTTGATCGTTCCGACAAAATTCTAACATGTTTAAAGACTTGTCTCTGAACTCCAGAGACATACACACCAAATTGTGCGCTTATCCAGTGCACAGTTTGGCCTATTAATGAACTCATGAAAAAATGCTTTGTACTCGCTGTTTAAATTGAACACGCTTTCAAAAATAGTAAAAGACCTCTTCCCATATTTAAATTTGTGCTCACTTCAGCTCAACATAGTTCGTATAATTAGATAACCCAGGGAGTCTTTTCTGTCATACGCACCATTGATGCCAAAGTAACTCTTGTGCTTAGAAACAATTAATCCGAGAGGCGCCGAATTGTGTTCTTTGTTCACATGCTCTAATTGAGGATACAAAAACAGAAAAATAGCAGCCGATGAATCTTAACATGCCAAAAATGAAGTATTCAAGGTTTGTATGGCAAAAAAAGACACAAAGTTTGGTAAATAAAAGATTTGTAAAGCAAAAAAGAGATCCCATTTCGTTCCTGGTCAGATGGTTCCCAATCCCAATCCCTATGGTGGGCAAGGATAACAACCATCTCCCCCAGGAACGCCCAGTATTGGGTAGATCCAGGTGTAAAAAAAATGCTATAACAGGGATCGGACCTGTGCTCTGAGTTCTGGAATGGAGGCCTCTCTTTTGGTGTGTTCCCAAACTATCACACTCCAGCTGGGCTCAGTGTAGAATCTTGAGTCGATCACTCGCACCATCACATCATCCACACGCAGGTAGAACCTGCATAACAACAATAGACTATATACCACCCCTCAGCTCACTTTCTCCCAATTCATAGGTGTTTTATGTGTTATTATGGCTAAATGCGTGATGTTACGATGTAAGGTATGAAGAACAAACTTGTTCACAAGAGTTAGTTTGTTCACCATGCAAAGTTATGGCAAAGTTAAAATAGTATTTTGAAATTGAAATTCAAATGTGGGATCGGGGTTGTGGAAAAGAGCTCAACTATATACATAAAACAAGAGAAGAGTACCACCAGTGCGCACTGAGCTCACATTTATGATGTTCTTTTTTCTTTAATGATCTTAAATCCAGATTGGCTGTCTAGACTAGCTTATCCTTAAACTTAGTTATTTCTCCTTGCGTTCCGACTACAAAGTGAAAAAAAATGCATTCGGGTAGTTTTTACAGTTTTTAAGTCAACTTTCATGGCTTTCAACTTCATCTTGTTTCCTTTTTCCACATGTATCTTTCTAAGCTAAAACTTTTTCAACTACTAAAACTACTTTTTTTACTTTTTTGTTTTTAATAAAATTAGGTTCTTAATGCAATAAGGCGAAAGCCTTTTGATTAATGGTCACAGTGATACAACTATTGAAATTTTTTCTTAATTGCCAGTATGAATCAAAGTATGAAACCAGTCTCGAAAATTCGCCCTGAAAACCAGTAATAAGTTCTTCCAGAGAACTATTCTTCGAAAACATGAGACAACTTGTTTTCTGTTGAAATGACAATTTCAACACAGAGGCGAACGCAAACACTTGTGAGAACACGACCGAAAAGCAGCTCTATCATGTGAAATACAAAAAAGTAGAATTAAGCCTCGAATTATCAAAAACTCGGCTACATGTTGGATTGGAATCTGCGATCTACTGCACAATCTACAGATTTTGAGTGTCAGGCAATCCCCTCATCCAAGCCAGCTTAACAACCGACAAATACTAGTCACGAATAAAGCAGCTACATATGCTAATAAACTCCCAAGCCATTCAGCAAAAGTGGCACCAAATACAAATAGACTCAATTTTGCAAGTAATAATTTGGAATATAAAACTGAAGGCATGCACACTAACTTTGAATGTTACAAATCGCAAAGCATAAAGCAACATTATGTATAAATTATGCATTATTGCGAGATATATTGAGTTAAAAATTTCTGAAATCGAGTTTTTATTATTGTGATGTTGTTTGAAACAAATCAGCTTTTTTCGGTTCATTTGATAAATTGAAAATGCATCAACTGTGTTAATTTATACCTATTCGAATGTTAAAGCCCATGTTATGAAAAAGCTGAATTTGCGACTTAGGTTGGAAAAAAAGAAGGTTCGCACTAATACACTAGCTTCGCAAGTGTACTCATAGCCTAGAGATTGGAGACAATACTTTCATTGTATCCCCGGACATATTTTTAAATACTTTTACGCGGTTTTAAAGAACCACGAAGCATTATTCATTTGGAGTATAGATAAATGAACAGTAATTTGTTGCTACTTATTCGCCTTATTTACTTATCGAAGCAATTCAAGAACTGTTTTCAACCTGTTACCTTTGAAGAAATGTATTTTTCGAAGCAGTCCAAGAACTGTTTTCTACCTGAGTAAGAGAAGGAAGCATGTCTTCATGGCTCTGAGTTTGACATTGAGCATGGCGCAGCCGTTGTCCGACAACTCGTCTTCGAACAGAATGAGGTCTTGGAAGAAGAGGATGGGGTCTCTTCTGGTCAACTTCTCCACATTGATCACTTCCCACTCATGCTCCACGTCTCTGATCTAAATCATCATCACTTTTACCATCCAGATGATCCATCAAGACTGTTCACACGAAAAACTTCGATCTCTGATTGTGGTATTTGTCAAGCGCGTACTTAAAATTACCGAAAAAAATTTGAAAATTTAAACACGTTTTCTCAAAATAGCTTGAAATTATACAAAAAATGATAACAGCAAAAAGTTGGCTACAATTTTACCTGATATAATACAGTGCAATTTCTTCATGTATGCCAAGACACGCCAAAACTAGTCAAAGGTACGCCAAAATTAGTCTCAAATTTGAGTCAAGTCTCAATAAAATCTCGAATAACTCATGCGCCGACGGTATTTTAACGCAATTTTTTCTCGACTCGTATTTTAGCAAAGGCGGCAATCATGCTGATAGTTCTGAGACAGCGGTCAAACATCAGCAAGCAGATTTAGCAAATTTAGTATAAATTAGCGCCATAACGCCTTTAAAAAATTTTAGGGTTCGTCGCCAAAAAGTGGTGGTCCTAAAATCATACCAAAGGTGGACCTTTTGGTTGATGAGGGTCCCCCCATCTTAATCCGTTCCTGCCCGTAACCAAGGAAAAAGCGTCGATATCAAATATGGCAAAGATTAAAATGAGAGCTTGAAAAACTTTTCGTTTACTTGCCTTGTGAGGTGGTATATTGGAGAAGGTGCCAGAGTAGTCTGGTGTGAAGGTCCAGTCGAACTTCAATGTCTCCCTATCTATGTACTCACTGTCTTTCCTGAAAACACGAACTCATAATAGATGTCACTGGTGGAAACAACTGACCCATGTGAACAATCTCCCCCCTGAATAGACCAAGTGAACAATCTCTCCCCATCCACAAAAAATCTAACTGAAAAAAAAAAATTCAAGCCGTAAAGCCTGCATATACTATGCTTAAATCTGATTGGCAGAAAAATTTTACTTTTAACCAAGTGAACAATCTCCTTCTTAAAGGGGGCGGATTTTCAAAAAAAAAATCTAAAATTTTGTCGACCTTTTTTTAGGTCGACCGAATTGATTTTCTGAGCTCTCCTAAATCACTATAAAGACCCCATGTTTACCAAATTTTCTGCGCCGCAGGCAAGTTTAAAAAAAAAAAAAAACAGGCCATAAAAAGCGTTTTAGGCGCTTTATGGAAAACTTTGACCTCACGAAACAAAAGATATCTCAAAATAGTACAAAGGGGGACCCCTTGGATCGGCAGGAGTCGAATCCCTGAGAGGGGGAAGGAGAAGAGGCCGCCTCCCGCCCTCCCCCTAAATCAGCTACTGCATATTATATATATACTTAAAATTATGAGCCCATAAGAGAGTATTGAGGTTAACCATTCAAATAAATTTTTTGCACTTTTCCTGACATCTGGACTCTGTAATGTGGCCTATCTTTTCTAGTCCCCGACACGATGAAAAAATGAATCAATCCAGATCATATTTATTTTTAACCATTTGTAACGTCTGCGAGTTTGTTTAAATCGTATTCTGGTCTAATCTAACCTGGCTTCTCTCCATTTACTTGTGGCTGCTACTTTCACATTAGGATCTGGAATGAGACTAACTGTTGCCAGGGCATCTTTGGCTGAAAACCGGATCCTTTCTTCACCTTTGAAACTAAGAGACACTGTGTTGTCCAGAAACACCATCTCTGGCATCTGGGGCAGTCCTAGCTCCTCAACCAGCCTAAACATTTCAAACGATTTGCTAATTAAATTCCAAAATTCCTAAATCCCAGTATCCAGTTATCGTAATATATGAGGATAGTCATATTTGAAAACGAAAGCTTAAAACGCGGGATGATTTAACTTTTCTTCATTCATTAGTTGAATTACAATAGAACAAACTCTTTGTCCATTGTGTGCGAATATAGGTTAAAAAATAAGGTTGAACAGTTTAAACAATAAATTCCCCAGTAATTTGACATTTTTTCAAGAAAAACCTGTCATTACTGAACAAAAATTCGCCATTTTTTGCCCTTTAATTCAAAAAAGTAGACAATATTTTTAGTTTTTGAAAAAGCTATGCTTAGATTTCAAATATTTCTTTCATTAGCTTTTTATCAAGTAGAGTGACATTCTACCGTACATGTCAGTCTGCTTGCTGTCGGTCATCAGACCCTGACTGGCCTCCACCCTCCAACTACAGTCCCCCTCCCCGAACGAGTGATGCTCCACCCTCCTCCTTTTAGACGCATTCACCCCACACACAGCTGCCAAACTGTCCCCACCCCGGATTACAACCCCGCCCCGAGGGGGGTCAGAGTTGACAGTTTCTGAACTAATGTTACCGTCGACAGACATACTCGGTATCTAAGACTCTAACACTAACGCTGAATCACTGCACAGCATTCAAGTCAAATTTTCACAGCATTCGAAGCAACAATTTTTCAACTGAAAAGAAAACAAACAGCCAAAATAATTTTTGGACAGATCGCACTGATGCGCTTTTTATCGCACTGATGCGCATAAGTGATGACAAACTGATGCGCATTCAAAATTTTCTACCGATTTGCGCGATGCATTTGCCAGTGATGCAATCATTAACTGTGAGAATTTCCTCGTTCAATTGTGCACTTATGCGCATTTGACTAAACTGATCCCCGTAATCAAGATGACAAAATGGAACTAACTTTTGAAAAATCGACCAATCGATATTTTCTGCCAAAACGGAACTAACCTTTGAAAAAGTGACCAAGCGATTATTCCAGTTTTATCATCAGAGAGCTCAGTTTGAATGAAGCTTGAGATAGTAATTTGTTAGGCAAATTTTAAAAATTTAACCACCAAATAATAAAAGGAGCGAATAAATTTCAAATAATTTTAGTTAACACCTAAAAAGCTCTAACTTATCATTTGGAGCTGATTGACATTTACATAATCAGGCATTTGACTGAAAGGGGCACTTCAACGCTTTATCTACAACGCTAAAGCAGTACTTTTCAACACAGGCGAAGCCGAGCTTCGTATCTTTTACTCGACTAAAATATGCCAGTGGCGTTAAGAGTAGAAAATGACTGAAAAAACTGCCACTCTTTTCATATTTTCAGAAAATTACGCTCAGAAATCAGAGGATTCCGAAAATTCGCACAACCCAACTATTTCTTGACAGACAAATTTAAAAAACAATAATTCTGTGCTGTGGCGACCAAGCCGACAAAAAATAAAATGTCAAACAATAGTTCCACAATTACTTCTTCCAGCCAAAAGTTTTCAGTTTGCGACAAGAAACGGGTCCTAGCCGGACTCAATCCCTCGATCTCCATACTAACAGGTATAGACGTTAACCATAGTCCACGCGGACAAAATAAGATAGGGAAGTTAAATTTATTTTATATCAAATCATCAAAAGATTCTGTTAAACGTTGTTTACATGGAAAAAATCCATGCTCCGATTTGATAACGTTTGTTAAGCGCATGTGTATTTACTGATTCGAATGTCGAAAATTGAGACAGCAAATTAATCTTGTTCCGATCACTCAATGACTGAGAAGGAACTATTTCCTATGCTAAGTTTTCACGCCCCGTTTTGATACATCACTTAAAGCTAATAAAGGGTCAAACTGCCAATTAAGTCTTCATTTGGATTACAAAGTTATTCCGGAGTACTTATCTCAATGTCAAAAAATATGATTTTCAGACTAATTTAGAGCGAGAGGTGAACTGATTACAAACAAAAAAGGAAACACTTGCGAGAACATGACCAAACAGTAGCTCTATCAAGTGAAATAAGAAAAAGTAGAAATAAGCCTCGAATTAGCAAAAACTCGGCTACATGCAAGATTCGAATCCGAGATCTACTGCAATCAAGAGATTTTGAGTCTCACGCACTATCCACTCAGCCATGCAAGCTTAACAACCGACAACCGCTAGTCACGAATTAAGCAGCTACATATGCTAAAAAACTGCCGATGCCATTCAGCAAAAGTGGCAACAAAAACAAATAGACTCAATTTTGCAAGTATTAATTTGGAATACAAACAAACTGAAAGCATCCACACTATCTTTGCAGGTAACAAATCGCTAAGCATAAAGCCACATTAAATTATAAATTATCTTTCAAAATTCAAAAAGTTGCGAGATAAATTGAGTTAGAAATTTTCTGAAATCGAGTTTTAATAATTGTTGTTGTTTGAAACAAAAAATTTTTTTTCGGTTCATTTGATGAATTAAAAATGCATCAACTGTGTTAACTCATTACAATTCGAATGTCAAAGCAAATGCTATGAAAAATCTGTGAAGGTTTCCCAAAAGTGGCACCAATATTTGCGACTTAGGTTGGGAAAAGAGAAGGTTCGTACTATTACACTCGTTTCGCAAGAGTAAAAAGAGGACAAAATAAACCTGATAAGTAAACAAGCTTCAAAATACAAGCATAGCCAATTGGCACTTGGAAAAGAGCAATGAACGCAAGGAAACCGAAAAAAATGACTTGATTTTAAAAAAGGTATACGCCTTTGAAGCTCTTTGAATTTCACTACAATTGATGTTTGACCCCCTTTATGATAACATTAACCCATTTCGAGACAACTGGATCAAAAGATAACACTTTTGTTTCGATGGGAAAACTGATAATGAAATAGCATTTACGAAACTAGAAGTCGATCACGTTTTTCGTGACTTTTACACTTTTTCTGTTCGATAGTGGAGTTTGCCTTCCTTATAACAAAAAAATGAAATGAACTTAAGAAATCAAAAGTCAAATAGCAAAAAATAAATTTGAGCCTGAAAAAAATAACCACGACCTGTACAAGAGTAATCAATTCGTTCATGACTCTTAAATTCGTCAATCTTTTTTGTACCGAACCTTTAATGGTTGGGCTATAAAGAGGGAAACTACGCCTGATGCCAGTGCGGGTAGCACTGGAGTAACACTTCCATTCTGAAACGTATGGCTTCCAGTAACAAAAATTAGCCAACCGAAAGCAGGAAATGTGTTAAAGAAACGGGAAAAACAAAGAAAATTATTGAAACTTTTCATTTCATTTTTCGAAAAAAAACTGGCTTAAAGCATTTGAAGTTCAAGAACAACTTATAATTGACAACTTTATTGATAAAATTACTTCCATTTAAGAAAACTGGATCAATGGTTATATCTTTTTCTGCTGGAAAATTTAACAATCAAAACTCAATTTTGAAAATAGTCTTAATTTATTTTCGAGCTATTTTCACTTCCGTAATTGGAGAGCGCAATTTACATTTAGGCAGATGAATTTGAATTGAACTTTAAAGTTCATTTAAACTTAAGTACATTCATAAATGCATTAAGGTATGACTGCACTTCTGTAGTTCTTGGAGCATTGTATGACTTTTTGGTGAGAAAAAAAAAGAAACAAAAAATCATCAAGACTTCTTTCTAACTGAAAAACGGTTAATTGCGTAAGGATCACTCCCAATTCTGAACTTTCGTATTCTTCTTGACAATTGATAGCCTCATTACAGCGTTGATTCTTTCCGAATTCACTACCATTCGCTCGTTGCCAAATGGAACGGCCGAAAATGTACCGACGCTTAAAAAATTCGATAGCTCATATTTGAAAAAAAATCTCCTGGTATTTTTGCTTTGATAACAAGGAGATTCGCTATGATAACTGTAAACGGAAATAATTGGGCTACTGGCATAGCAACATGCTATGGTTGGTTTGAACTCATATTTTGCTATGTGCTTACATTCGTCGCAAATGCTCTAGGAGTCAATCGTCCGTGTTTGGAGCTACATGCAGTGCAAACAAAAAGTTGTCAGAATAAGAGATCTTATAATATTGAGATTTTTACTTTCTGTTGGCAATTATAAGCAACAAATAGACAACGTATTAACCTGATAGAGAAATCATTTAAAATTAAATTGAGGCAATCCAACTGGCGAACATACAAACGAGTATTTCGCTAGGAAATCTGAAAATTAAAATCCACTTTCGAAATTAGAAGTCGATTTAATTTTTCACCAAAGACAATAAACTGAACTTGAAAAGAAATCAAAAGTCAAACCGGGAAAAAAATTAGAGCCTAAACAAATTTCATGACTTTTCTTAAAGACCGAAAAAAAATGTCGCGACCTGTAGCATCTGAACTACGTTCATGGAATCTTAATAATTTGAACCCAACTTGAAAAAATTGGATCAATAAGTAGATAATTAATTCGCTTATTGTGGGGGTAAGACTCCAGTGCTACCCCCACTGGCATCATGCGTAGCTTCCCTCTTTATAGCCCAACCATTAAAGCTTCGGAAGAGAAAAACCTGCATAAGATCTTGAGACAGCTTCGGATCAGATTTACTACCTGCTTCGTTGCAAGAAAGCAATTGAAAATTTCACTTGAGCACGAAGATTCCAACAATCGACAACAACTTGGAAAACAATCGATTCAAAATTAACCATTGCCTTCAAAACTCAACCGAACTCAATGGCGACGAAAACTTTTGTCGGAATTCAAAATTGTATTGATGACTTCAGATAGACAATTGATCCACAAAATATCTATCATTCCCCGAAGGTAGGTACTTGGTTAACAAAAACAGTAGTTTTAAAAACAAAATAAATAGGCACTAAATAAAATGCCACCAAAAGCTCCTCAATTGCAATTAAAATAGGTTTACAAAACTATGTAAGCGAAGTTCTAAGTTCTAAGATTGGAATTCAATGCGAGCCTCAATTCTCCGGAGATTCGAGGTTAAAAATAGTTCGGAATTGCACATTAGGGTTTTGCTGTTGGTCTGAATTCAATTGACAGGGGTGACTGGCTCCTTGCTGATAGTTCAGCAACGCATTCTGTTGATGCATAATTGGACTCAATTGTTGGCTGTAGTTTTGTGGAAAATAAGCCGCATTTCCATTTACAGCCAACTGATATCCTGCTGAAAACTGCTGCGGGTGGTTGAATTGCGTAGTTTGGTTCGAACTAGGTTTCGCATTTTGTTGTAGGTTGGGTCTATGTTCAACCTTTCCAAGTGCCCCGCTGATCTTGAAGCCACTAGACTTCTTGGCGACAGTTGGCTGTTTGACTATTGATGACGTGGGCGTATTGGGCGAATAATTCATTTGCCTGAGAAGGTTTGAGTAATCGGGAACAGAACTAGGCGATGCATTATTCGGTGAATATTGATTAGCTCCCGAATTTTGGATCGGTGAAAGTTGGTTGGCAATCAAAATCTGACTTTCTAATGCCCGATTGTCTTGAAAAATTTGGTTATAACCCAAGTTATGTGCACCCAGCATCTGACTGAATGAAGTATTTGCGGCTCCCACAATTTGATTTGGCGAAAGCTGATTGGCTGCTGACATCTGACTAGTTGAAACTTGATTGGCTCCTGAAAACTGACTCCCTGACACATGGCTATGTGCAGTATTATTTTGGTTAGTGTATTTCTGATTCACTCCTAATTTCAATTTTGGAGATATTTTCTTGGAGGCGTTTTTCTCGTAGGCTAAAATCTCATTGGCTCTCATAACGTGACTGGGAGACGTGTTATTGGCTCCCAATTTTTGATTAGGAGATAACTGATTTGTTTTCAAATTCTGATGAGTAGTTCCCAGATCCTGGTTGACTCCAAAATTCTGATTTGGCGAGACTTGTTGGGATTCAAAGTTGTGGTTCGACCGTGAAGCTTGATTAGGAGAAACCTGACTAACTACGCGACCATTATTCAAACTTTTCCCCGGAGCGACAGATGATCTAGATGGCGTTGCATGTGCTTGAAGAGACATGAAATTCTCAAAACCTGGTAAACTTTGAACGTTGTCAACAGTTAAAGTATCATCCAGTTCCATTTTGGCATTCTTTTGAAACGAGGAACCATTTGCTAAATGGCCCAAGTTGTTCATGTAGATGTTTGCATTTTGGACACTGGGTGATTGTTGTCGAGATAAAATAGGCGATGACTGTTGATGACGCGGCGGGCTTTGCACTTTTTGCGAGGTCGCACTATTTTGCTGTTGCACCATTCTTTGGGCGATCATAGATTGTTCAACTGCCATTTCATTTCTTTCGCTATTTTTCATCATTTCAATTGATTTCATAATTTTGGAAAGGTCAATGTGACTAGCTATTGAACTCCCTTGTTCCACTTCTTCAATTCTTTGATTTTTAGCCGGGGGACTATTCAATGCAAACTGTTTACTCACACTTTCCAAACCCGTATTTTGAACCATACTACTCATGTTCGCCAAATAAACATTAGGACTCTCTGTATCATTTCCTGGTGATAAATGGTCAGAAGTTCCTTGCATCCCTGGGGGCGAATTCTTGATCGATGACCTTCTTTTGCTTCCTCTAGCTGTTGCCGATGATGACTCACTACCTCTTCGGCTAGCATTATTCGCATCAACTGTAAACTGTTTCTGACTATTGGCAACTGCAACACTTATCTGCTTTTGTAACTCACTAAGCTGGCTGATATAGTCATTATTCACTAAAGACTGATTTCCTATTGGGATCGAACTTACATCGCCGCCATTTTGAGTCTGAGATACACTCATTCTCGGAGGAGATAGCGATACATGTTTTACTAACTTCTCATAGCTATTTGTAGTAATAACATTATCACTCGGGCTAACTATTTCTATATTTCTAGAACCGTTCACTTTCGGAGAGATGTTACCATTGTTTCCATGTGGCTGTGTGAAAACATCACTTTTTCCTGCAGTCAAATTAAGAGTCGACCTTTTGATCACGTCTTCTTGTTTTTCACTTCCGTTGCACGTAGTTTGTCTATTTTGTTGTTTACTTGTACTCAATTCTGACATGATCAGCGAAGCTAGAGCGATGTCTTCATTTGAACTATCCAATGGGTTCTCGTTTTCTTCCTCTGTGTTCGCAACGATATTTGCACCCCCGTTGAAACTTGCAACTTGGCCATTAGAACCACCAGATTTCTGCTTAATCTGTTTAGCTTGAGATTGCTCGTTGCCACTCGACTTTTTCTTAACCTGAACATTAGACGTCACTTTGCTTGTTTTCACGGCATCTATTTTGGCGTTATTTGAGCTATTCTTTTCGTTTAGCAAACATTCGTTGCTTTTCTTGGCATCTTTAACCTGACCGGAGTCATCTTTCTTCTTGCCTTCGCCTATAGTTGAGGAAGTTTTAGCCCCGCCCACGTCTAATATTTTTGAGGATTTTGAGCTAGATTCTTGACTCTGAACGCCGAGCAGAAGCCGTGCTACTTGCAGCAGAGATTCAGAAGTTACTCCCCATTCTAAATAAGAAAACATCATTTTAAATTTTGTGACCCCTTTTAAAAATATCGATGCAATATACCAGGTTTTCAACATATTGTCTTAGTACCATGACAGCATAACTTGTTCATAGTTTCAACTAAGCACCAACGTTTTTTTACTTATTCGAGAAGTTACGCTTCCCATACAGCAGTGGGAAAAAAAACAGCTTACGTTCGGAAAATGATACCTTCTTTAAACAAGGAAATTTTTACTGACAGCGGGGTTCAAAACAGCAACTCTTTGCGGACCCATTTATGGTTCTGGATGCGAAACAAAGCAGATACCCGTTGAGCCGAAAAAAAAACGGTTTCATCAAAACTTGAAAATCAAAAAAAAAAGTTTTCAGATCCACCTCAAAACACCCACACAAAAACGCATTTAAGAAATTATTCTCTAAAACGACGCAATATGAGGCCAAAAAGCTTAAATATGTAGAAAGCTTTGAGGCCGATTCAAAAACAAAATGAAAATTTCAGAAAAACGGGTTTTTATTCAAATAATGCAGACATGCTCAAAATATTTCTATTGATTAACGAAATAATTAAACTATATATTGGAAGATAAGCTAAAAGTGGAGATTTAATTTAGTACCCGGCAGCAATACCCTTGCTTATCGCATAGGGCAATGATCAAAGGCATGATACTTGATCTTAACATTTGACACAGTTAATCACCAGTATTTGCTTTGTAAGCTAAAGTGATATGGGATCAGAGGATTGTCTCTCGCTCTTACTAAAAATTGTTTAGCTGACCGACCGCAAAATGTTGGATTAGGAGTTTCTCTCATTTAACCAAAAAAAATCAAGCATGGCGTACCACAAGGGTCAGTGCTTGACCAATTATTGTTTCTTATCTATACAAACGACCTGCCTAAGATTTGCAAGAATTCTAAACCTACTTTTTGCTGATGATACAGCTATCATTGATAGATCAATGAATGGCCATCTAAATAAGTATTTACCCGCCGAAACAAAGTTTAAATGCACCAGTCAATTAACATTGAATGGTTAAAAGGCTCTAACAGTTATTTTTTCCGAAATGTCATACATTAATCAACAAGAAAATTCCAAACTGTCCAGAAACTTGAGTATATCAAAATGAACACTTCTAAAATGAAAACATTTTGTCACAACAATTGCAGCGCAACAACATTTGCGAGTTAAGTTAAAAAAAAGGAGTTTCATACTATAACACAAGCTATGCTTGTGTAATAATGTTGATGAAATACTATACCAATTTAGCAAATTGGTTCAAAGAACTTTTTTGATAATATTTTTCTAGATAAACCAAAAACTGCATAAACTCATGTTTTGGGAAATTCATTTGTTTTTTATGTTGGTGTATTGCATTATTCTACAAGGACTACACATTTATAAACTAAACACGTGTGCGTAAACTAAACGCGTGTCTCAGATCCATTCATAGTGCTAGGTACTTAAGTTAGGTCTCAGTTCCTTTGGTCCCTGCCCCTAGACAAGCTCATCGGGAGTATATTTGAGCATATGCAGTAAGTAGAAGCATGAACACGTTTAAGAATCTGATGACTAAGTGCCAAGAATGATTTAACTTTTAGATCATTTGCAGCATCAAGATTCAATTTTTATTACTGAAAATTTTTTCCAATTTTTGTAGAAAATAAAAACATAGCCAACAGACAGCTGGAAAAGATTCAATGAACTCAATTAAACGGTTAAAAAACAGACTTGGTTGTTTTTTAAATTTCCTTTAAATTTAAACTTTCAAATTTTCTAGAAAAAATAGGTGGCCTGATGAAATTAACACAATTTGAGAAAACAGGAGCAATAAAAAAACGTTTCGTTATGAAATCTAAAAATCAAATTCCATTTTCCAAAATAGAAGTCGATCAAGTTTTTGGCGACTTTTACACTTTTGTTATTCGAAAGAGGAATTTACCTTTCTTTTACACAGAGGCGAAGTTGCACTTCGCATACACAAGCAAAATATGACCGATAACGCTGCTGAGAATAAGGTCTATGGAAAAGGAAAAAATTAAATGTTAATTAAAATAAAATGAATGGTAATTATGGCAAATAAGCTTCCTTCATCCACTTTGGCACTTTTTCCACGACGGATCAAATCTCCGCTTACGCGTTAATAGTCCGAAACATATCGCACATTATTTTCCCAAATTGACCAGAATGGCAATTTTCAACCCCCCCAAAATTCACGAAAAAAGATCACAGGTGAAATATCTTTATAAATTTCAGTTCAGGGCAACAATACCTTTTGACTGATATAAAAAATTCCGTCAAAATGGCTAGTTAAAAAGTCGAAATTTGTCAAAATAAAAAAACCACCCCTAGCACAAATATTCCGTTCCTTTCGATACGAAAGTCGGAACAAATAATAGTCGGTGTTAATATCCTTAGCATTGGCTGTACTTAATAGCTGGTTATTGATCAAAATAAACTTTCAAAATGAACACATTTTATCGCAACAATATTTGCGTCGCATCAATATTTGCGACTTAGGTTGGAAAAAAAATAGTTCATACTATTACACAAGCTATGCTTGTGTAAAAAAACGAAATGAACTGAAAAAAAAGAAACCAAAGTTCAAACCGCGAAAAAGTAAATTTGAGCGTGAAAAAATTTTGGACTTTGCTGAAAAAAATTCATCGCGACCTATAGAAGAGTCTGAACTACCTTCATGGACCCTTAAAAAATATGAAGTATTAGATATAGATGTTACTATGTACAGTTCCTTCACCCATCATTCGAACACGCTCTGATACTTTGAGAGTATTTAGAGTTAATTGATCGAAGATTTGATGTAAAAAAATTTTAATTGGATAAAATTTAAAAAACAGTATAATTGTTGCCATCTTTTATGTTCTTAATTGAATAATTTGAGTACATGATTATTTACTTGTTTATCAAGGGCCAATGTCTTAAGGGCACTGAGCCTAGTGTTGCTCCTAGACAGACAACATTTACCGATTAGAAACTTAGTTTGCTGTAAATGTCATTGATTTCTGCTGGAATTTATCAAATCTTATTTTAATTTCATAGTCATTACTTCTCTACACTTACGAGTAAAATGCAAATCAATTTGATTATTTAACTACTTCTCATATATACCACGGATGTCAAAGCTCACCACTTTTCTTCGCCTTTGTCTCCGTTTCCCCACTTGCATCCTGTGCTTCAGTTCCCATTGCTTCATCTTTACCAGTAGTATCCACTCCGCCCGATGGTGTAGTAGCAGTTGGGGGTTTGGGAGGCGCCCAGAAAGGAAGCAGTTTGCGAGAGAAGTACCTTTTCAGCACAAGGTCTCTGGAACCGTGAATCGCCTCAACGTAGTAAGTCTTCAGATAGTGCTCCAGTAGTTCTTTCAAAGCCTCCCTAAAACCCTCTATGTTTTCGAAAAAACCACTAAATTTCTTAAACCATACTCGATTACCAAATATATATTTCAACAATCTTTAATCTTTATTTCATAATAAAATTGAAAGACTATAAAATATTCAAGATCTTTATGAAGAAGTTCATTATTAAAATTCTAGTTATAGCATGCAATCAACGAATGGTTGAGTTTGAATGACAAGTAATATTATGGGATTTCAAGAGATGAAGAAGTTCATTACTAAAATTCGTATTCAATTAGCATGCAAGCAACAAATGGCTGAGTTTGATTGACAAGTAATAATCGGAGATGAACTGACTTGAACTGTTTGGAGTATGTGAACTTCTTCTGGGGCATGTCTGGGTCTGATTGGGTGGCGACCGAGTGCGCGAATTGGGGTCTCTTCTCCATCAACTGCTTCACTTTCTTATCATAGAACCTCTGCTGGATCACCAGATCACGCGCAGTTACTGAAAACACAAAACAATCAAAATAGAATAACATGCAGAAATCTTAATGATCATTCGACTTACAACAAACAGAGATACCCTTTGGTTTGTTCCAGCAGACCCAAGAAAATAAAAACTGTTTTTTTTTTCACACAAAATCAAGTACCAAAAATAGCACACCCTACAAGATCGAAGAATATTTCACATCAGGGTCATTTTAGCCGTCGGGCTGACTCCAAAAAGATACTTAGAAAGTAACTTTTGTAGCTGAGAAAAGTTGTTTACTGGATATCCAAATCAAGCAACATCAATTTGGATTACTGACCTTTCTCTAGCTGTTGGACAAGTTCTCTGGTTCGAGTAGTGGCGGCTGCCCTGGCTCCAGTCAATCTGGCCTTGAACAGTTCCCTGCTACTCACACTGTCCAACTGGGATGTGATCAGCTGCTCACAATTCCCTACAAAACCATCACCCAAATAACTTCAATATAAATTTGCAAAAATTATTTCAGCAAGATTCGAGCTTCAGATTTTCACAAGGAAATGGCTATATTGAAAAATTATCAAAAATAAAATCAGTATTTATTCGCAGGACAATCTATATGAGTTGCCCTGTGTCTCTATACATTATACAAAACTCAAAGTCAAAATTCCCCTCCATGTCGAGTAAAATAAAGAAGACAACTGAAAGAAATATATCATCGATTCTCCAGTTAATTTTCTACTTCTTTTTCGTTTAGTAACTGAAAATGAGAGCACGCGAAATTAGCGTTTCATTCAAAACCGAGCTTTGGAACTCAAAAATAGCGTAAATAGTAGAGTGGAAATTACATTCTGTAACTAGTCTAGAAGTACCTTTGACTTTCCTGTAGTACTGGAGGGCTAGAATGTGTGGGAACAGGAGTGGGGCATGTCTGTCCACCACCTGCATTTGCTTCTCCTCATCCCCCTCACACTTCCTGTAGTTCTAAACACGACACAATTAATTGCACAAATAACCTTCACTCACTAACCCTGTGCGGAAGGGCGAGCAGAGAGTTCAACTCTACGTTTGATCCTACTAAAATGGTTACAACTGCGCTTAAATTAATCATCCTTAGTGCAGGCGTAGCTGATGCCCTGTTAGCCTCCTATGATATCAAGCAGGTACCCTACTATTCTTAAAATTTTATTAAATTATACTTTTTTGAAAATAAATGGAATTCAAATCGTTGTTTTGGCTCTTTTCCACTCCCCCAATACGAGACCAAACTGTGCACTGGATAGGCGCACAATTTGGTGCCTGCAGGTCAGTGGAAACCAGAGACAAGCTATTAAAAATGGTCCAAATTTAAGTGGATTCCAGGGGGGGGGCGTAAAATTAATCCCCTTTAGAGCAAGCGTAACTGACTGTTAGCTTCCTATAGATAGATATAGGCTCATATAATACCACGCTGTTCACCTATCATTCCTAAATGAGTTTAAACGGTTTTATTGAGTACATTGAGTATCATTACTCGAACGGGTATCAATCGTTTCTCATTTTCTATGAGTTAACCGAATGGGTTTCTTCAATACGTTCGATCAGACTTTCTATCTATTTCAAACAAAATTAAAAAGGTAAAAGTCGAGCAATTGCATATCACTGAATTCAAGAACCAATAGTTCCTAGGTTTTCTGGAGTTCTAACTTTGAGTTTACCGCCAATCGCCACAAGGTTTTCGTATAAAAACGTTTAATCGTATAACTTGAATCAAAATCCTTAGTAAACTACAGCAATCTATCATGAGTTCTAACACGGAGGCCAAGCTGTAATTCGTAAATACTAGCAAAAACGGTTAAAAGAAATTTCAAAATTAAAAATAGATGGCCAACACACAGCTGGAAAATTGTCAATTAACTCATAGAAACCAAAAAATGATTTTTTTTCTTTCTGAAATCTATTGTCGAATTTTGAGTTTCAAAGAAAATATATCAACATATAGATCATTAAAAAACTTCAAGAATTTTTTTTATATGAGTGTTTTGAAAACAGCCAGCTAATTAGAGAAAACTGGATCGATAGGTTAAATTTCTATTTCCACTCCAAAAACTAAAATCTAATTTCGATACCTCAAAATTGTTTTTTTTTGCAGGACATGCTTCGCACTTTCGTCAAAAACTTCTTGTAACACCCAAATTGGATCCACGATAGCTATAAAAGTAGACTGCATTATTTGGAAACTAAACTGATATAGCTTAAGCCGATAGCATTAAGCCGCAAAATCATCAGCAGAAAACTTATTTCAAATCGCGAACATAGCCAACAGACAGTTGGAAAAGAGTCAATGACCGCAAGAGAACATTCTTGTTTTTTTTTTTAAAAGTAAAATAACTTCCAATGAAAAAATGTCCTTAAAGCTCTTTGAATTTCGGGAACAATTTAGGACTGGAAACTAACACAATTACAGAAAACTGAATCAATAGAATAAATTTTTATTTCGCTGGGAAATCTGATAACTAAATTCCACTTTCGAAACTAGAATTCGATCACGTTTTGCTCGACACTTTTGCTGCTCGATAGTCGAGTTTGCCGTCTTTTAACAAAGAAAATGAACTTAACCTAAAAAGAAATAAGATGTCAAAACCTAAAAAAGTAGACTTGAGCATCGACAGATTTTATATCTTTTCCTGAAACAAAAAAAAAGAAAAAAATCATCACGGCTTAAATGAGAGTCTGAACTAATTTCATCGACTCATCAAGTTATTTTATGATTGATTTCTTTTGAATTTCGAGCTCTATAAGACAGAAATGCATGAAACTGTACTCATTTTAGACTGCACCTGTATGAATAGTTTGATTTTGCGTCTGGACAGAGTGGGTATGCTTCGGAGGTAGTCCTCGAACTCGGAGGAGGCCTTCGTCTCCCTAATCAGACTGAGAGGCATCAGGTCCTCATCACACTGCTGTGGCATCTGTGGCCCTGATAAGAGATCTCATCTATTAGGATGTGTACTGCATTATTGAAAATACCAATAAAATGAATTAAATTTAGGGAAATGAATTGAATTGAACTTTACTCGTCCTGCATTGGAAATTTTAAATATTTTGAAACTAGAAGTCGATTGCGTTTTTTGTCACCTTTACACTTTCGCTGTTCGATAGTAGAGTTTGCCCTCCTTTCAACAAAGGAAATAAACTGAACTTGAAAAGAAATCAAAAGTCAAACCACAAAAATGTAACTTTGAGCCTGAACTAAATTTAAGACTTTTCCTGAAAACGAAAAAAAAAACTGCAAACTATACAATGAGTCTGAATAACGTCCATCGACTCTTAAAAATTCTGAAAAATTTTGATTTAACTTCACTTACATTTTGCTACATCTTTTGACATTTTCCCCGCTGTGTTTTGCTTCTTGGATCCATTCACACTACTTATACTTGAAACATTCTTGTTGTCAGCCTCCGCTCGTATGAGGGATGCTAACGAACAAGAGTCGTCGCCCGAGTCGTGCTTCGGTTCCGGCCGACAACTACTTCCATCATTTCGATCGTCCTCGTCTGCTTCATCTTCGGTTTGGGAAAGAATTATTACGCTTTCCTTATCTTGTGAGTTAGGAATACTAGATACTTGGGAGCTTGTTAGGTTGCTACTGGCCGCAGAAATAGCATCCGTCTGTGCTGCTGTAATGGCCGCTGCTGCTGCATTTGCAAGACGCCGCTCTTGCCGTCTAAAAAGACAGTTGCTCCACATACGATAGCATTAATCTGCTCGACAACTTGTAATTTAAATCAAATACAACTTTAACCGTGATTGAACCTACATTATACACTTAAAAGCTCAACTAAAAATTTATGCGTTGTCATAAATGAGCAGGTGTATCACTTTTTTTTGGGGCGGACGAAGCTTTTAAATCAGAAGGTATGCTCGTTCTATAGGATACAAAATTCGAATACCAAATAGTCAACAGAAAGTTGATGAGTTTTTGTTCGAGAAAAGTTACAAATGAACTGATGCAAATGAGAAAAAAACGTAGTTTTTTATTAATTTTCTTTCGAATTCCGTAGAAATTAGATGAAGTAAAAGATCTTTTAGTTTCAAGCATATATTGTTATGGACTCTATTTTATATCAAAATGACCCAATTTTAAAAAAAAGTGAGTCATACTTTTGTTTTCTGAATGCATTGAGAGCCTTCTTCATCTGATCCACAGTCCTCTGAGGGAAGTGGAGTCTCTGCACCTCCTCCCAGTCATTCTTCAGTCGCCGCAATCCCTGTCGCAGTGCCTTAACCTGCATAACAACACAAAACCATGAGAGGCCTCTAACACGAAGGTCGTGGTTTCGAATCCCACTTCAATCACGGTTGGAGTGGTCCCAGTATCACCCGCCTCCTCAACAACAAACAAAACCACCACTCATTCCACGCAGAAACAAACATTGTGCAAGTTGAGCAGAATGTTCCGACCTCAATACTTTTTTTTGAAAAAAAAACTACCAACATCGGATTGGATTACATAGGATTAAAATGATATCCAGTTGCGAAATTAGAGATTAATTCACTTCTGTGATACATTCAATTTAAAAATTTAGGGTCTTTTTCGTCCGCAAGCGAAATTCTGTACCAGTCGGACGATTGAAACAGAAAATTTACTTATAAAAACTTTCAGCCGGGTGAAAGGAAAAAGAATCAAAGTTTGATATCCTTGTCACCTGTGTTTCAGTCCAGTCCTCATAAACATAGTTAGGCACTGTTGGGAGACCAGACCCATCTACTTTTGCTGCAGCTTTCCCTCCCCCAGCGAGGTGAGATCTGGCAGCAGTCGAGACACTGTCCCCCTCTGAAGCCTCTAGGCTGCCAGTGTTCTGTTTCTTCGAAATCACAATCTCAGATATATCCTGTAAAAGCAAAAAAGAAATTAGTCAAATACTTTGACTGAAAATATCCTTATTGTGATTGCAGTAACCGCACTATTGCTAAAATACAACCATAGCTTGTTAAACCAATGTCAGTTTCGAACGCTTTTGTGCTGCTCTAGAGAGCATTGGAAACAGGAAACAGTCAAGACATCTTAGCAATAACCGTCTGTTTAGTCCATGATTCCATTGCTTCTCGGAAACGTCGCAATTTTTCTTTACAAATGAATCAAAAATCATAGCAGAGCAAGAAAAAATTTGCTTTTCAAGGTCATAAAAGTCACCTCGCAGTCAAATTTCTTTTCCAAATCTAAAAACTAATCTACCAAAAACAAATCTACCAAAAACAATCAACGACAACACAAACCAAGAAGAAAAAGAAAACGCTCAACAATGACTTCGGGTGGATCCGGTCAAACTTTTTCGTCCAATCTCAACTATTTCTCAGACGAGGGGGAGCAAGGGAAAAAATCTAGAGGTGCGGGGCATTTCTTGGCGAAGAAGGCGAAAAAGTGGAAAAAGAGTTTGGGGAGAAAGATGCGCCGCATGTCCTACACGCCTTACCCAGGCCCATACAACTTCAACATGCCAAGAGGCAAGTCATCCTTTCAAATAACTGCTTGCAGTATCTTATTTATTATTTATTCTCATCTATGTTTGTGTGACTGTAAGCCCAGAATGGTATAAAGCGGAATCTAAGAACAATACAACAATAATTGCTTTTATGAACAGCTTACCCTTCATTATAACCATTAGCTTGTAATATCATGCGTTTCAATCATAATTTTACAAGTTCAAAAAGGCGAATTTCCATTTTAAGCCTCAAAATAACTAACTCAGACCGCTGTTTCAGGTTTATTATCAATTGCTCTTTATTGCAGGGGACTTGGTGCCGGACACTCTGGATTATAATTTACCGAGTAGCCAGAAGAAGACTCGCGAGTGGTTCGACAGCAAATACCCCGAGGGATATCCAGACTACGACTTCCGGTATGAACACAGCACCGGCAGTCTTCCTTACCCACCGGTAAATATTATATTGAGAGATACCAAATTTAAGATTTTTCCTTGAAACAGAAATTTAAAGCCACGAGCAATCTATTTTCTCATTAACTTTTTTTTTCTTCTTCGATCATGTTGTAAGTACAAAACTATGCTTCAACGAAATGAGTTTTTCCTGAAAAAAAAGCCACGCGACCTTATTAGGTGAAAAATCACTTGACTGATCAATTTTTCACTTCACTCATTAACACCTAAAGTAAATCTACGCCTTCCTTTCCAGAGCTCCCCCTTGGACGCCGCTTGGGGGTGGGAGGCCGAAAAAGAGAAGTGGGAGAGGAGAGTGATAGAAAGGGAGACAGCTCAGTTGAAGAAGGAGCCTGACTACTTCAAGAAAAGACTGCACGAGATGAAAACTGTGTGTGATAACCACGCACAGGCTAACCAAGTGTCACTGGCCGACATATTCAACCCACCATTAAGTCAGTTAAAAACTAAACCGTTCCGTTATATCGCCCCAAAAACGTTTAAAAAAGAACGTTGTACCAGCTTCTGTTTATCATGAACCTTCAGCTTTCCCTAATATGATTTATTTTCAACCAATAAAATTCAAGCATTATGAGCCAATGTTCAGTGCAACAGAAGCATCAAATATGGGTCATTAACCCTGCACGATCTACTTTAGCCACACAACATTTGGGAACTATGATACGGGTCCACGAGTAATTTTTTGCTGCCATATTTCATGACTAACAAAAAAAAAGTTCTCAGAAAAAACTGCTTGAAATGAAAAAAAAAAGACAAATCGGACCGAAAATGTTAAATTACTATCTTAAATTGACAAAAGAAATCAGGAAAAAAAAACCAAAAACACCGAATTCGTAATAACTGTTGTCGACTTCAAGAATATATTTATTGCTGGAAGAATTTCATCGAAAAATCTCTTTATTTACAGGCCAAGTCGGCACCTCGCAGGAATTGGGCGAGGCCTACTATCAGTGGTATGAGTACAAGGACAAGTTTGACGAGGAAAAACGAGCGAGGAAAGAGGAGGCGAGACGACGTCAGGCAGAGGGAAGTGTCCCTTATGACACCTCAGGGCCATCTACTTCTAGAGGAGTTGGGAATGTCACTGAACACATGCAGAGTATGCAGTTAAGAGATGGACAATAAACTATTGTCAGCTGAATGATTGTTTCAACTAATTTTTGTTCACTGAAGCATACGTCTTGGAAATATTGTGACAAAAACTAATGTTTGTAAATAAACGTTGCTGAATTTTTTTTTCTCCCCACAGAGCTGTGGTGCACATCGCAAATACACGCAAAAGATTACACCAATTAAAAAAATTACAAACTTATTTACAAAAAAATTGAAACTACTAGCAAAAAATGATTAATTTTTCGGATAGCAGTGCATTAATCAGATCAAAAAGCTTACCTACATTTAATTTAGAATGTTCTGTGCTGGTTTATTTGCAGCCTACGGTACAAGTTAATAGTAAACTGGTTACAAGGAGCGCATTGATTTGGCATCTTAGTTACTATGACAATATTCAAAACTGAGAAAAAATTATCATGTCTTATGTTAGAATTCAAAATCAAAACATCAAATCTTTCAGATAGTATCAAAAGTGAGAGTAAATAAACCAGTAAAAGTTTCAACCAACCGAAAATGCGCAGAGTACATAAGCCGAAATTTACGTCATATGAATGAAATTTGCATGAATTTCGTAGCTGTTATATAATTGTTACATAGGTATTATAAAACAACTGTGTATTTTTGACACTGGTATTTTATACAATAGTCTGCATTACCTCCATCGACTATAAATTATCGCTAGGTTATATGCATATACTGTAACAAGGATACCCGGTTACTGTGCAAGTAGCACAGAATGTTCCGACCGGTCTTAAAAAATACAAGAATATTTCTTCAAATCATTGTCGTTTTTTTTTGGCGTGGTATGATAAAAGGAGCTGAACAAAAAAGCTGGGGATTTTGTATTTTCGACAGCCATACTAAAATAAGCAAATTGAAAAGCAATTTTTGTAGAAAATTTACTAGGAAAACGAAAAACATCAAAAAATTGTTTTTGATGTTTTTTTGAATGTTTGAAAACTTTGATTCCAAAAAGGTGCTAAATACTCAAAAAAAAACTAACGTTATTCAAGTAAAACAAAATTAAGCTTTCATTTTGAACTAAGTTATTGTAAGCTTATAAGCAACTGAAATAAGACTGCTCACTCGCTTTATTCGCTCGAAATAAGACGAAAAATCAAGAGTTTCAAACCGGTTTTTCTGGACACTGGGAAAAATTTTTTGAAATTTTAAAATATGGTTCGAATCACGACTGTAAGGGCTTTAATATCATATATTCTTTAATGCCCATTCCGATCATTTTGTGCTACCTGCTTTTGCGTGGAAAACATAAAAAACTAAAACAGACCCGAATACATAGTTCCTACCCGTTTTCAATGGTCGTAACAATAAAACTGGACACTGATTTTGATCAAAAATACGCGACAAAGATTGAAAAGGCGAACTCGTCAGATAACGCAATCTGTTGATTGTGTATTCAGTTGTCAAGTTACTAAATCTGGATCTACTTACCAATCGCCCTCCCTTTGGTACCTACTAAAGAATTATCACCCCCATAAATAAAAGCAGTGAAATAGCACAAAAGCGTTGCATTTAAAATTTGAGTTTTGCTGCTGCAATCTGGTTTGTCAAAAATTTGCTAACTTAATCTACTTCACCATTGCCTCCCACCTTTCTTGAAGGGGGCAATTGGTAAGTAGATCACTAAATCTATTCGGTCATACCAGGGGATTTTCTCGAGGGGGGTTTGGGGGATTTTTATTTGGGTGCCTTTTTTTAAGTCGACCAAATTGATTTTCCGAGCTCTCCCAAATCACTAAAACTTCCCTGTTTTGGCCGAAAATTTTGAATAAAGAGGCCAAAATAGCGTTTTTAGACCTCTATTGAAAAATTTCACCAACAATTTTTTTTGCGCGCGTTTCCCGTCAACATTAATATATATTGGCGCCAAAGGCCTTTAAAAAAATTTAGGGTCACTCGGCCAAAATAGTTTTCATAAAAAGTTCCAAAAGAGGGTCGGCAGGGGGTCGAATCCTTGAGGGGGGCGTAGGCCCCTCCCCCATTAAACCCGCCTCTGGGTCATACCATATCTACGGATCTAGGATGCGTGCATAAGCATTTCGGCATAGTTTCAAACCAAGGGTCAAACCGAGAAATACGGGCATCGAACAGTGTGGAAACTATTACTGTACTCGGGCTACAGCAGAACTTTTTTCACAATTTTGACTATTATTCAAAACAATTGCAACAAATTGTATCATATCATATTAAAAATTTGTTTGATAAAAATTTCCACTTCATTGAACAAAACAATTGCTGAAAACTATTTATTGAGGCTTATACCAATAATTCTCTCATAACATGTTTCTGTGGCGAAATTATAATCTTAAACATGTTATCAGAGCATTTAATTGTATTTTCGGATATCGGATTTTTACTCAATTCACTCTTGATTTTAAAATATGCATCGTGTCTCTCTCAATATTGACCATTCGGCATTTTTATTGGCTGCAAAAGAGCATAGTTTTTTGCCTAGCAACATTCAGTTTTCAAATTTCAAACATACAGGCGAAGCGGAGCTTCCTACCACTTAGAATAAAATCGAAGAAAACGAAAACGACCCAATATGAATTCACTGAGTAAATAAAAAACATACTGAGCCGAAAAAAAAGCTTTAGACGGATATTTAATAAGCTATTATGCTCAAATTTTGTCTGTGGTGGTAACGAGACCAAAGGATAAGACAAGTCCAAGAAATGAGTAAGTCGTGTGAACAAAATTATTTACGGAAAAAAATATAGTACCCGGTTGCAATACACTTGCTATCGCAAGTATAAAAACAGTCACGAAACACGCCAAACAACATTAAATTAAATTTTCAG